GATGTGGTTTTTATTTCTTATATGTGGATGATATGCTAATTATTAGTAGCTCGATTGCCCTAGTAGTAGAAACAAAAACTTTTCTTGCACAATACTTTGATATGAAGGATCTTAGAGAAGTTTCATATGTGTTGGCTATCAAGATAATAAGAAACAGAAGAGAGAAAACTATCCTACTTTCCTAGGCAACCTATTGCAAGAGGATACTAAAAAAGTTGATATGAGTACGTGCAAGCCCATGTCTACACTAATAGACAAAAAGACGAAGCTAAGCAATAAAATGTGTGCTACAGAAGACATGGATATGAGAGCCATGGAGAAAGTGCCTTATAAGAGTGCAGTTGCGTCCCTTATGTATGCCATGATGGGAACAGGACTAGACATGTCATTCGTCATGAGCTTGATAAGCCGATTCCAAAAAAATCCTGGAGAGGAGCATTGGAAAGCGATTAAGAGAATCCTTAGAGATTTAAAAGGGACCATGAACTATGCGCTAACATACAAAGGGGGAACTGAAATAACAATAGAAGGGTATTCAGATGAAAGCCACATCGTCGATCCAAATGATGCGAAGTCCACATCTGGATATGTGTTTATACTTGGAGGGGGTGTAGTTAGTCAAAGAAACAAGATATAGTGGCATTATCCACCATGGAAGCTGAATATGTGGCATGCTGTCTAGCAACCAAGGAGGCCGTATGGATTAAGAAGTTTATTAATCAGCTCAGCTTTCATCCCGTACATTGTGAGGCAGTACAGATTTTTCTGTGACAACACGGCAGCAATTTGCATTTCTAAGGAGCCTCGTTTTCATAAAAACTTCAAGCATATTAAACCATATTTCTATCATCTAAGTAATGAGGTGAGATTGAAAGAGATCAAGATTAGCTATATATCCACAGATCTGATGATTGCAGATCCTCTGACTAAAGGGGTTGCCCCTAATGTTTTTATAAGACATGTGAGATAAATGGGGATGAGAGAAAGTGAGGAAGAGAGATTGTAAGACATTCAAAGGGCAAGTGGGAGATGTTGGGTTTGTGAGGCCATTAAAGGCCTTATGAGTGATTGTAATGAAACATTTGATATAGTGGATCACAAACTCAATGGGAATGTGGTCCCTCGCAGACCATATTATGCAAACAGTGTTTGCAGATACCAGATTGTGCTTGAATGTTTAGGGCAGTCGATTGGGAAAAACCCATATTCCCTGAGCATAAAAGAACTGATACTGGTTCTAATGGGTCACCCCTTGATGAGGTCAGAGTATGCCCGAATGAGTGAGCCGAGAGATTGTGTAACCCTTATGTGTGATGGTGGCATTTAGAGACGGGAGCTAAAGCCTCATCCACGTACCATCACACGACATGCATATCGATAGATAGTTTCATGAAAGCAAGCCACCTTTCAGGGTGAAGCGTATGCATATGCGAGAGATACCCCTATGTACCATAAGAGTTGTGGTCATATCAGGTTTAGGTGACCTTGACTTGTCTTTAGGGAAGGACCTAAAATCCACATATTGGGATTGTGACCCCTTGACTCATCAGTCAAACTTTGGTGACCTGCTAATGAGCCTTCAAAGGCCAAGCGAGAGATGTTGGGTTTGTGTAGCCATTAACAGCCTTATAAATGATTGTAATGAAACATTTGATATAGTAGATCACAAACTCAGTGGGAGTGGTCCCTCGTGGACCATACTATACAAACAGTATTTGCAGATACTAGAATGTGCTTGACGATCTAAGTTAGTTGGTTGGGAAAAACCCATGTTACCTCGACATAGAATATCAATCGATAAGGGTTCTAATGGATCACCCCTTGATGAGGTCGGAGTATGCCCGGATGAGTGAGCTGATAGGCTATGTAACCCTTGTGTGTGATGGTAGCTTTCAAAGATGGGAGCCAAAGCCTCATCCATGTACCATCACACGACATGCATATCGATAAACAGTTTCGGGAAAGCAAGACACCTTCTAGGGTGAAGCGTATGCATGTGCGAGAGATACCCCTATGCACCATAGGAGTTGTGGTCGCATCAGGTTAGGTGACCTTGACTCGTCTATAGGGGAGGACCTGAAATCCACATATTGGGATTGCGACCCCTTGGCTCATCAGCCAGACTTTGGTGACCCGCTAATGAGCCTTCAAAGGCCAAGTGGGAGATGTTGGGTTTGTGTGGCCATTAAAGGCCTTATGAGTGATTGTAATGAAATGTTTGATATAGTGGATCACAAACTCAGTGGAAGTGTGGTCCCTCATGGACCATACTATGCAAACAGTGTTTGCAGATACCAAACTGTGCCTGACGGTCGAGGCAATCGGTTGGAAAAAACCTATGTTACTTAGGTATAGAATATCAACCGATAAGGATTCTAATGGGTCACCCCTTGATGAGGTCAAAGTATGCTTGGATGAGTGAGCCGAGGGACTGTGTGACCCTTGTGTGTGATGGTGGCTTTCAGAGACGGGAGTCAAAGCCTCATCCATGTACCATCACATGACATGTATATCCATAGACCGTTTCGGGAAAGCAAGCCACCTTTCAGCGTGAAGCGTATGCATGTGCGAGAGATACCCTTATTCACCATAAGAGCTGTAGTCGCTTCAGGTCTAAGTGACATTGACTCTTCTTTAGGGGAGGACCTGAAATCTATAAACTGAGATTGCGACCCCTTGATTCATCGGCCAAACTTTGGTGACCCGCTAATGAGCCACTGCTGGGACTATGGGTCATAGGAAACACTAGGTCGGTTCAATAAAGCAAGTGTGGTCTGTAGTCCACAATTGAAGGTGAAGTGCCCCATGATTGTTGATTTAATTCCTAAGTTATATGGATCCATTTCTTATCAAATTAATTTAATTATGTTTGTTTTAAGATAAAATTTATTTTAGAATTATTATTTGAATTTTTATGAACATCTGGATATTTTATTTATGATATTTGGATTTGTAAAATTAAAGATATTAAATTTACAATGGTTTAAATATTCTAAAATTATTTTTAAATATAAAATAAAATTTCATGGGGGCCCATGTTCCAAAAGGTGGGGCCCATGTTCCAAAAGGTGGCACGCCCCACCCCTTATTCTCTCTTATCTTGTTTCTATTTTGATAAGATATGGTATGAGGTCAAAGGGAATCTTGAGGTTGGAAAATATTTGACTAACTATTGACTTAATATGTTTTGAAAGATTTTGTGGAAAGATTGAGTAGACTTGTGTTAAATTTATGGTATGCATAATATTTGATTAGATTTAATTTATTTAATTTCTATTGATGGGAAAATGGTTTAGAAAAGAGGGATAATGGTTTATGCAACTTCCACAATGTTGATGGCTCATTTATGAAATGGATGGCTCAGATCTCTCACCCCACACATCACTCTTGATCGACTGTCCATGTTCAATCTTACTTAAGAGGCAAACTATGAGAAATCCTAAACTTAATTTTACACTATAAATAAGGGTGTCCCCCCATTCTCTATACACAATCTATCTTCTCTCTCTTATCTCTCTCTAAGGGCACACCCCACTCTCTCTCCTCCCTCTCAGGACTTTGTCTCTCCTCCCTCGCAATACTTTCACTCTCGTCCCTTTAAAGTCTCCCTCTCTCTTTAAAGTCTCCCTCTCTCTCTAGAGACCGCTCTCTCATAGCTTATCTTTAGAGGGGCACACCCCAACCCTAGGCCACCACCTAAGTCTCTCTCTCATCTTGAATAGCCTAATGGTTGGGTAGTATGAGATATGCCAAAATAAGTCTTGGGGTTAAGATCTAAGTCCGATAAACTCTAAAAAGGTTCCATAGAATTAGTTTGGCCTAAACTTGCTTTCTCGATTTGAGATTGAAGCTGGATCGTCGATCCCGCATCATCGGATGGTGGTGACTCGGTGTGGGGTGTAATAAGCCCGGGTGAGGTAATCTCCGACACTCTTCTCTTTTATTTCTTGCAATCTTATCTTTTTATTCTCAAGCATAGTGCATAGTTATTTCAATGGCATCAAGTTTTAAGATTTTGGATTTATTGTTGTGTTGAGTTTATTTTGAAATATATGTTATTGTAATAAGACCACTTGTAATTGATATTTTACCAAAACAAAAGGGATGAATAAAAAAAATTTATTATTCCCTAGTAAAATATCGCATAGGTCTCTCTCTCTCTCT